CTACTGCTTGTAGCGCAGGTTGTGTGGCAACATACACTTTCATGTGCTTCTTGTCATACGTGGTAGCAACCCGGCAGTAGAGAACATCATGCACCAATGACTGTGGTGTTGTGGCACCCTTCATGTGCGCGTCGATGGCTTCCTTCTGCTGGGGCGGGATGGCGGAGTCTACGGCATTCTGAAGCAAAGCAGCCCAAACATGAACATGAGGAGGTCCTTGATCATGATCTTTTCCTGCACTCTGCACCTGCTCATTGTACGCCTGGGATGCTGCCTTTGCGGCCACAACCGCTCCTGCTGAACTCGGCACCAAGCACGTGCGGAACGCCACTGACTGAAGTGCACGTATGTCTGCTGCATGCTTCAGGTTCATCTTGGCCATCAGAGCAAGCATCTTCATCACCAGCTGGTTGTCAACAGTGCCGCCCACTGCTGCACGCTTAGCAGCTGGTGGCTGCGAGCGACTGCTGGCAGCCCAAGTGTTCATGATGGGCCTAATTGCGGCGAGCACTGCAAGGGGTGCGCGTCTACTCCAAGTGCTCAGCCAAATGATTATGCAACGCATCCAGTGTGGCACACATACGAGAGCAAATTGGACATTCAAGCGAGTCAGGAGAGGCAGGAGATTTGTGGATTGAACTACCTCGCCCGCTGCATGCCTGATGCAATAACGATGCTTGCACATGCCGCCTAGTGGACGGCATATTTGCAAAAACTCGCCTACAGAACAAGCACTGGTTTGTAACCACGATCTGTGTTGCAATATCGGGCTGTCCATGCTCGCCCCCAATCGTTTTGGCTTGATGGATGCGCAAAGCTTGTTGCGATAGGAAAGCACGATCACAAACACTGCCATCCGCTTTGAGCAAAGAGCACACATGCTGATCCAAGACTTCGGGTTCTTCCTGCGTGTCTGAAGCTGGCGGGCATTGGTATCCAGGTGGAGGAATACAAACAGTAAGCGTCTGTCGTCGAAGCACCGAAACATCCACATATAGAAAGTCGTTGATGACATCTGCGTTGAAGAGCCGCTGAAGCTTACCATCGACTTGATGAGGGACATGCGCAGAATCGCCATGCTGTCGCAACGAGTTAACATCATCCAGCAGCTGTCGTAACCATGGGTTGGCATGGGTGGCCAGAGTACCATCTTGCAAGAACTGTTCGTTGGATTCAAACGAAAAGCTTCCGAACATCGTTGCAAACAGCAGTGAGTGATGATGAGGAAATCGCAGTAGTCGTTGCCACCATTGTAACCGTCGAACTCGGAGCTCCACAGTCGAAGTGGCAATACCAAGGAACTTGAAGACTTCTTTGTTGGGAA